TGTGGATCTCAGGCCCCATGGAGATCTAGTGAATGAGAATCCACATTTTAACAAGATCCCGGGTGCACATGTTAAAGTTTAAGACACTGGCAGGGGCTATTGAGTATAAATGAATACACTTTGTATGGTACATTAAAGAGCTTCCCAGGGACTCCTCCCCTACCCCCACCTCTTCTACCTTCCTGGAGAGAAGGAGGGAAGACTGTGCTCTCTTTTCTTTTTATATTTTGATGAACTCTTACTGACTCAAAGGTCATCATAAAAACCTCTACTTGCTGGGCATGCTGGCTCACACCCACAATCCCATTACTTTGGGAGGCTGAGGTGGAAGGATCACTTGAGGCCAAGAGTTTGGGCAACATAGTGAGAGAGACACCCCCCACCCCAGTGTCTACAAATATTTAAAAAATTAGCCAGGTGTGGGGGCACTTGCCTTCAGTCCCAGCTACTTGGGAGGCTGAGGCAGGAAGATCCCTTGAGCCCAGGAGATTGAGGTTACAGTGATCTAGGATCACACCACTGCACTCCTGCAGCTTAGGTGACAGAGACCTTGTCTCAAAAAACAAACAACAAAAAAAGAAAGAAAAGAAAAGAAAAAAACAAAATGAAATAAAACCCAAAATCCTCTGCTAATTCCCTGACCATATCTCACCTTCCTCCCCATGGCAGCACACTCCCCATCCCCCAGACCAGAGCAGCCCCTCACCCCCCAGCTACAAGCTTTGCATGAAGCAAAAAAAAAAAAAAAAAAAAAGCGAGAGAAAGAATTTTCCTTCCTGGTTCTCCATTCCTTTGTCTAAAAAAGTGTGCTTCATTCGCTTCTTTTTTTTTTTTTTTTTTTTTTTTTTGAGACAGAGTCTCACTTGTTGCCCAGGCTAGAGTGAGTGCCGTGGCGTCAGCCTAGCTCACAGCAACCTCAATCTCCGGGGCTCAGCGATCCTCCTGCCTCAGCCTCCCGAGTAGCTGGGACTACAGGCATGCGCCACCATGCCCGGCTAATTTTTTTCTATATATATTAGTTGGCCAATTAATTTCTTTCTATGTATAGTAGAGACGAGGTCTCGCTCTTGCTCAGGCTGGTTTCGAACTCCTGACCTTGAGCAATCCGCCCGTCTCGGCCTCCCAGAGAGCTAGGATTACAGGCGTGAGCCACCACGCCCGGCCTTCATTCGCTTCTATTTTTAACTTCCTGCTAGTTTTAGTCCTCCCATCTTGCTGACCAGAGGGAGTAGGGGAAGGGATGGAAGTGCACAGAACCCACTTTCCAATTCTGGAAGGCCCCAAGCTTGGCTGGGAAGGCCCAGAGTGTGGGCTCCCCGCAGGTGTGGGGAGGCCGGAGGCCTTAGAAGCCTGGCAGAATGGGGCCTGGGAGCCGGGGAAGTCAGGGGCAGGAAGGGTCCAGCAGACTTGATTGGACTGGAGGCGATTTCCCCAGAGCTCTAGAAGGCAAACACCCAGCCCACCTGAGCACCAAGTGCTCCCTCCACAAAGCCAAGTCCTGACAGGAGGCTAGTCGGCTCCCACCTCCAATTCTCCCAATCCACACAACCCAGACTCAACTATCCCTCCCAGACCCTGGGTCTAGGGCTGGAAAGCCGTGGGCTTTTAGGCAAGTTGCTCCTCTTTGAACTTCAATTTTCCTTGTCTATAAAGCGGGAGATAAAAATACCACCTACCTCACAAAGAGGCTGTTAGGAATGAATCAGTGCTTTTAAAGCCTAGCGCAGTGCCAGGCACACAGGAAGCGCTTGTTAATATTAGCCTTGGTGTATTTTCCACCCGGGTCGGTGCAGCCGCCCTGCGCTCCCGAAGGGTGCCTCACACAACCCAGGCTCTTGGCCCAACTCGCCTGTCCCCGCGCAGCCCCTAGAGGGCGCCCGGAACTCACTTGTCCTGGTTTTCTGTGACCAAGTCCCAGGTCTGGCTCCCACTTCTGGGTGACTGTTGAGTCGCCGCCACCGCCTCCAGCTTTTTGGGTCTTGTGGCTCCTCCCGTAGCAAAAGAATACATTTGGGCTCTGGGACCACAGGGCGGAAAAAGGTAGGGACAGGAGCAGCCCCACCAAAGCCTCCCTCTAAGAAGGCACACAGAGGGGGTGGGGAGAACACGCAGGGGTGGGGGGATGGGGGGTGAGGGGTGGCATTTGCATCCCCTGCCCCCCTCACACCCCTCACACCCTTCTCACACATACAAGGAGGCTGGATTTCTGCAGGCTTCGAGGAGGCAGTGACAGCAGCTGGATTTTCTGGGCCTTGCTAGCTAGGGTCCTGGCTGGAATCTAGGATTGCCTGTTGTCCCTAAGTCCAGCCTCAGGCACATGGGATCCTGTCTCCCGCCAAACTGCAGAGCTGGAAGCTGAAACACGGTGGGGAGGAAATCCCCACCCCCAGGCCCCCAGGAGTCAAGTTAGGTCCTCCCACTTCTGGGCTGGGGAGGGGGGAGGAAGGAGGGGTGCCCATAGGGTAACCACCTTACAGGAGCTGGCCCCAATGGGCTTGAGCGTGTGAGAGTAACTGCAAGAGCCAGCGGTGAAGGTCTTGTGTGTACGTGTGCGCCTGGCACTGCACACCTGTAGCTCCTCTTGTGTGACACTACACACCCTAGGTGTTGCAGAGTTGGAGGGGATGTGTGAGGTTGTACACAGCAATGCAGGTTGTAAGGGGGCCAGTGTGAGTTGTACCCACCCCTCAACACAACATTGGTATCCCTTCACTCCCTCAAAATCACCCTCCCCCACCAGTGCCACCCCCACCTCCCACCCCCACGCTACCGCCAGTCATCCCACACACCATCTTTAGCATCTGCTCTGAGCTCCTTGGAAAACCAGACCTGGCTTCAGCGTTCTTGCACGCAGCCTGTTCCTGTCAGAGTCCCCAGAATAAGAAATCTTACAGCTGAGGGTGCACATGGAGAGGGCTCCCTGGGCCAGCTATGCCAGGGCTGAATGGGGAGCTGGAGGCATTGGACTGGCCATCTGAGCAGGCAGGAAAAGTGGTGGCAGCTCCTGCTGGTGGTCTAGGCACAGCCTTGCTATGGGACTCCAAACTCCAAACTCAGCAGATCAGGGAGGGCAGAGGGAGCTGGACTGGAATGCTGTGTGGGAGGGACGCCTGTGAAAGTGGGTATGAGGGGAGCAGGAGGAGCAAGGCGTAAGGAAGGGGGAGTCTCCTGAGTCTGAGGGGCCCTTAGAACAGCTCCAGGGCCACAGCCTCCCAGCTGCCCTGCAGCATGGCTGCTGAGCACCAGCTGCTCCGCTCTGCACAGCCCTGAGGGAGGTCCCTGTTTAGTTGTTTTATGCACCTGAAACCTACCTTGCCCACCTGCAGGTCACTCACACCCTACCAGGGCACCCATCTGAGTCCAGGCCCAGGACAAACCCCACACCTGCTGCACAGTGGGGGCGCCACCAGACAGCTAGTGCTCCGGAGGTACCCGCAGCCCTCAAGCACACACGCAGCCACACAAAGGTGCTATTATTGTTAACAGGTTGAGCCAGATTCTCCATGTACCACCCACTGCACAGCACAGGGCCTCTGGGACCCCAGCCCTGACTGGGTTCAGGGGCCCACAGACAGCCACCTGTTCAGCCACAGCACCGGGCCTGAGCCGCAGGGCTCTCTGGTTGGGGAAATTGGTCAGCGCCGCCGAGGGCTCACTCAATCACTCAAGCCAAGGAAGGAAGCAGGCCTTTCTGGCCAGACAGGTTTGTTCATTCTCTTTTGCACCTCGACACACAATTATTGCAATTTGTTCCTTTTCTATTTTTGAAGGAAGACTGATCATTTCCAGTAGGGGCCGTGGAAGGTCGGGAGTTTTGAGTTTTCTGTTGTTAGTAATTGGCTTTGAGCGTGACACTTAGAACCGCACTTCCTTCCAGCCTCCGCCCCACTTCGTGCGGAGGTTGGGGTCCGGCCGCCTAGGGCAGACCCGGCGCGGTGCGTCCTTTCTCCGCTGCTGCGGCGCTTGGCGGACGCGGGATTCGCTGAGATTCGGTCCCAACGAATTCCGCGCGGAGAGCGGGGAGTCCTGCGAGGTCCCCTGGCGCCAGGGGTCTCAGCGTCCCGGGGAGTCTGGCACCCAAGGGAGGCCTAGCCCAGGGCCTGGGAGCGTCGTGGGAGCCCCCACCCCAAGAGCGTACGACCCGGGGCCGCAGCGAGCGCGGGGAACAAGCGGAATGGCAGAAGCTCGGTGGCCGCCTCCCCAGGGCGCCCGGGCCCCAGCGCTGGGGAAGATCCAGTCATATGGAAAGTCCCCAACGAGCTGGGCAGGGTCCGAGAGCAGCGGGGCAGAGGGCCTGCATCTACCCGCACAGTCATGAGGGTGAGCCCTAGGTTGTTCCTGAAGATCCGGGGAGGTAGGAGGTGCTTCTGGGGGAGACAGTGCTGTGCCCAACTTTGCTTGAGTTGTTTCTTAGGAGCGAGTGAAAGCGAGGATAAAGATCTCAGACTTTGGAGCCAGTTTCCGGCTGTTGTGTTTGGGCTGAGCGGCGGCTCCGCACCCGTACCCCAGCTCCCCTGTTAGCCTGCAGCCAGCAAACATCCAGGGCCCTCCCGACACAGCAGCCTCTTGAGGCGGGCTCGGGAAATTGGGAGATGGGAGCAAGGCCCAGTCTCCCCTGAGATCCTGCGCTCTGGGACGGTGCAGCCGCGAGTGACCGATGACGTTCAAAAGACGCCAACCAAGGAGAGAAATCTCATCCTGCGAAAAAGACACGTACTCTAGGGCTCGAGTCCGACGGGAATGGAGGGGACAGCCAGATCTGCTCAGGTAGGACATGAATTCTGAGGTTCTGGGAGGCCATTTCCAGATTTTGCTCTGCCTGGCACAGGGTGCGGCAGCCACGGAGAGACCTGCTGCAGACCCGCGCTGCCGCCAGAAGCGCTCCGCACACTCAAGGCGGCGGAGGCACTGGATGGGCTTGTGGGGCTGGGGCGGGGGGGTCTGCGAAGCCCTTTGAATTGGAGCCTTCCTCTCTTGCTGAGGTACAAGCATGACCAAGCCCAGCCTCACTCAGCCAAATTGCCCCTTGGGCTTCTTTGGGTTGGAGGTTGCTGTGCTCTTTGTCCCTGTATCACAACCCCAGATGGCTGCCAGGCAGGAATGAAGAACAGTGGCTCTGACAGTTTGGGTGGCTCCCCCCACCCTTAGTCTCTGTGCACACATCTCTGTAGACCTGTGCAAGCTGCACACCCTACTAACTTCTACTTTCTAACCACAAATTTCTCCCACTCTTCCAGAAAAAGCCTCCTATCCCCCTACTCCAACTCACTGGTAGGATGGTGAGGTCCCCAAGCCACCCACCACCCAGCTTCTTCTAGAAAAGCAGACCCAAGTTAGTTTCGTTCATCTAGGATTGGTCTAATAGGTCAGGGACTAGATGTTATGGGTGTGTGTGTACTGTGCCCGCTGTTCTGGTCCAAAAGTGGTCTGGTGATGCCCTGGAGGCCCCCAGGAAGTCACTTCTTTAGATACCTGTATGCCAGGCTACTGCTGGGAGGTCCCACTTAGAGCACCAGAGAGGATCCAGTATGCCTTAGTCTCTGCAGCTTGCTGGTAGGGGACTGGAACCCCAGAACTTCTAGCAGATGCTGGTCGTCCACAATGTATCTGCACTAGACTCTCACCACCACATACACCACCAGTACACCATTGTACCCACTCACATGCAGCCACACACACTCACTTGCAGGGACAGTCTCTCACCATGATCCACACTCCCCACTACACTTGTTCCCCCAATTATATCCTGTCACACGTGAGCAAATACAGTTAAAATACACAGCTCTCACAGGATTACATCTCACAATTATGCTCATACAATTAACCATGATCCACATCATAAACATTCACACATTTAAGAAAAAATAGATTTACAAAGAAAAACTAATACATATTCTCACAAATATTAACACGGTATATAAAATGGGTAATCACGAGATTACCCAAAAAGACAGTCACATTCACATGTGGTTATACACATACCACTACAAGCCCGTGCACACAGTGATAGTTTCGATTTGCAACTTAAGCAGAAACAAGCGTTTAGGTACAAGAATCGCAAACACCCTTAAACACCATCACAAACATTCACCATCAGTAACGTCCTGATTGCCCACACAGTCACAAACATGTAATTCTCACACTCAGAGAAATCCACTTCCTCTCAAGCACTAGTAATCTCAGGCTGTCTCCTTAACTCTGCCTTCTCTGTTTGTCCTTCTTCTTTCTTCCCATCAGAGCCCGAGGGTCCTGTTCCCGTATGTCCCTCAAGCTCAGGTACCAGTGGCTGCCTCAAAGCACCAGCTCACACCAAACCCAAATAGCTGAAAAATGGTGGCTCGGCAAGGAGCAGGCGGCCCTGACTCCGGATCCGATCCGGAGGGTTTTATTATTTTTTTCACATAAATTACACAAGCACTTTATAAAATGGTTACACAGAAAACACCTTATAAGTGCATAACTTAACCCCTCCCCCCAACAGGATTTTGAGAAATGGACTGTGTGGAAACCTGTCTGTGCGTATGTTCCTGGGTGCGGCTGGGACATGTGGTGGGGGCCTGGCAGGCCGAGTGAGGCTGCGGTGGCTGTCGTGTGTATGGGGGGTGGCAGTGGTGGTGCTGGTGGTGGTTGTGTGTCACAGTGTGGCCGTGGCCTTGTGTTTGTGTGTGAGGGGGGAAGTGCCATGCTGTTCTGAACGTGTAAGGGTCACCCCGCCCACGTCTGATAGTGAGGGTCAAGGGTGGGAAGGCTATGACTCTGTGTGCATGACACTCTGCCATAGATCCCTGTGTGGTTCTAGGGACTGTGACATTGCCTTTGTGTGGGCCTATGGGTGTCCATGTGTGATGAAAAGTGGGAAGCGGAGAGGAAGTTTCCCAGGGTAAGTTAAGATGGCAGCCCTGGGGACCCCAGAAGCTCTTCCCCCACCTCCCTCGCCTCTCTCTCTTGGTTCCACATTAAAAATTAAAATGAAATAGACGTGAACCGAGAAGACTAACAGTTCGGGGAGGGAGTGGGACAGCATAGGCGTCTAGGAGGGGGTCGCAGGTCCCTATCCTGAGCCCTCTTCCACCAAAGAGAAAAGTGTCGTCTTGAGTACGAAGGCTGTGTGAGAGTTCGCCGCGTCCCCCTCCCGCTTGCAGTCAGTCCGAGGCGGGGAGGAGTGGAGGAGAGTCCTGCCTCTCAGGCCTTGGCGACGCCCGACTAGGTCTGAGGTCCCGCAGGACAGAGTGGGCAGGCTCACTCACAGGCCGATGCCACGGACGTGACGCTAGTGATCTTAGTCGAGTCGTCAGACCACGGCTGCAGATTCTGCAGGGCGAAGAGCGACGAATTGTGCACACACAGTGGGTCAGCGGGCAGCGGCTGCGCCAGGCTCTTCTGGAAGGCCTCCTGCTGTAGCTGCAGGAGGATGCGGTTCGCCTGCTGCCTCTCGGCCTCTCGCTCTTCCGCAGTCTGCCGTCTGCACCAGGAACAAGCCATTACCTGCCAGGGCATGGACCCAGCTCCCACGAAAGCCCCAGCTCCCCCATGCACTCCCAGGAGATAACCTGAGCGAGCACTGTTCCTCTTTGCAGCCCCCAACCAGGTCAGGCCCCTTTAGCGCATTCCCTTCTCCTGAGGGTCTCAACCTCTGACAAAGAGTAGAAACCCCCAACATGGATGGAGCTGAGGTCTCCCAGAGGAGCAGTGGGAAAGTCTGTGACGCCCAAATAGCTGGGACTCCTCACCTATGCACAGCGCAGACACCCCCACCAGCCTCACAGGGCTCAGCCAGGGGTCAGATGGCATCTCACCTCACCCCAGCCCTGAGGGAGACCAGTCACTGTCTCAAGCCCGAGGGGCCTCACCCTCCCCACAAGTACAGGGCACAGAGGCAAGGGCCAGTGGATTTGATCTGCCCTACAGGATGGGACCTCTCTTCTTTCCCGTCTCTCTGCAAACTTCATCCAGACCTTGGGCCTCCTGTGCAGAACCCTGTGCCCAGGCCGGGCTCCCACTGGACCCACCAGCTTTCTCCCAGGCAGTCCAAGGAGGCAATGACTCACTTATTCCATTTAATGCTGCCCCTCCACTCTGTCAACTGAGATCAAACGTCTGTCTCTAAGGTGGACAGACCTAATGGGAGTCCCCGGGGCCTCCAGAAGCAATTTGTAGGCGATCGATGAAGCTGCGCAAAGCCTGCAAGGGCCTCTTCCAGCGGCGGCCACCCCTTCTTGACTTTTGGTTCTGTGTATCTGTCTGTCTCTCATCTTCCCCTTCTTTCCTGCATTTCAAACTGACTGAATGTTTCTCTTCCTTTATGCTTTGTTTTATCTCTTGTTTTCTCACATCCACCACCCCTTTGGTTCTCTCTGAATTAAAGAATTTGTTTGAAACGAAAATGGTGGTTTTAGTTGTCCATTGCTTTTCTTTATGATTAATAAGACTTCTTCAGGCTGCCTGTTTTTCCTCCTTTTTCCCCTTCAATGGGTGTCTTTGTCTTTCCCTTTGTGTTTCAGTTTCTCTATTTGCCTGCTGCTTTTTGTCTCCGGGTCCCCTCTCTCTGGGGGGCCTGCCTGGCTCCCTCCTCTCCACTTATCCTCGGCCTCCCGTAGGCCTTGGACACACCAGTGCCCCCCGCCCCAGCTAGTCCTTATTCCCTCTTCTGCTTTCCAGAGGTCTGAAACCACGTCCCCCTCCTCTTCCCCAGCGGCAGGAATGTTGGGGGGCGGTAGACTCCCGGGGCCATGGCTTCCTTTGTGGCCCCAAGGCGGAATCCTAGGCAGATTCCTAGCCTTCATTCAGAAAAAGAGGAAACTCCAATTCCTTCCTCCTGCCCCAAGGCCCGCCCGGCCCGGCGCCGGCGCCGGGCTGACTTCGCCCAGACTCCTGCTCTCACCTACGGGGTTAAATAAGCTAGGAGAAACTCCGGCGAGGGTGGAACCGAGTGTGCGGGCCACATGTGCAGGAGGGTGCAGGGGTGTGGAGTGTGCAGCCCGAGAAAGCCTAGTGTGCACACAGAATAAGGCAGCTTAGGAGTGCGCGGGGCGCTTGTTGTCGCTGAGGGTAAGAGGAGGGGAGAGCGAGAAAGAGAGAAGTCGAGGTATATTCATGTGAAAAAAGTGTGTAGTTAACTAGTTTGGGCTATGTGACGGGAAAATGTCTGTTTTTCTCACACACACCCATCTGCTCCTAATTGATTCCCCTTTCACTGGGACCGGAGAAACCCCGCCACAGCCGGCGCAGATTGATTTTTCCGTCGCAGGGTGGGGGACCGGCTGCGCAGGGGCCGGTGTCTGGGGAGGAGGCTCAGCCCGCGGCTGGGGCCCCAGACACGCGGCCGGGAGCCCGGCTGGAGCGCTGCAACAAGGCGCAGGACGCGTCGCCTCCAGTCCTGGGGACAGAGGACTCCAGTCTGCTTAAACAAAAAGCTCCCCAGAACTCACTGAGCCTGGAGCCTGGACTGCATGGAGAGATCTAACTCGCCTGTTTGCCTAAGCGGCGGAGACCAGGCGCGTCTACACAGGCACAGAGTGTGCTGGCCAGAAAGCCCTGAAACCTCCTGTAAAACACAGCCCATTTCTCCAGCCCCATCCCGGCTACCAGCCTCCGGTGCTTCCAGCTCCAGGCGAGCCTAGCAGGAGCCTGCTCCTCCGAACCGATCGGAAACCCGCGCGCTGATCGGAAACCCGCGAGCCGAGGGAGTGTGTGCGTCCCAAGAGGGGCCGCCAACAGAGAGCTGCCCGAGCCTGGGCCCCGCGGCCCGCCCGCCCTGCTAGCTCACCTCCACTTCGTCCGCCGGTTCTGGAACCAGGTTTTGACCTGCGCGTCGGTCATTTTGAGCGCCTTGGCCAGGGCGGCACGCTCGGCCGAGGCCAGGTACTTCTGGCGGTGGAAGCGCTTCTCCAGTTCGCAGATCTGCAGGCGCGTGAAGGACGTGCGTGGCTTCTTCTTCTTGGGGGGCGTCCGGTTCTGATAGGGGTGACCTATACGGCGTGTTACAGTGAAGGGTGAGAGGGCCACTGGAGCGGGAGACAGACAGACGGCAGAGGCAAGCGGCAGAGCGTCAGGAGGCGTCCCAGGCCCAGCACCCCGCGAGTCAGCGAGCGCAGTGGCTGGACCCCGCGAGCAGGGCCGCGATCCTCGCGTCAGCCCTCAGCGCCAAGCCAGCGGCGGGACTCGGCCCCCTCCCTCCCGCCAGGCCGACGCCGCACCTACCACCGAGGCCTCCCTAGCCCCGGGCTCAGAGGAGCCCAACTCTCCTGAGCCCAACTGCCTCCCGCTCCACCCCCCAGCCAGGGTCAGTCTAAGGCGACCTAATGGTCCCAGCTCCCCCTGCCCCAGGCCTCCAGGCTCAGAGAAGCCGCCCAACAGTAACAGGAGCAGTGTTTCCAGGCCCCTGACTCTGGGTCCTGACTTGAGCCTCCATCATACAACAGCACACACACGTAGCATGCCACAGGCACAAACTTATAGAGCTATGCACCCAAACAGGCTGAAACACTTAGATAAGCACAGGACACTGGGCAACACAGGGCCACAGCCACACACTCCCTCAGAGCCTCTTTCATGCCTGAAACAGGATTAGGGCAGGCTGTGGCTTCTCGAGGTAGGCCCTATGGCGAGTACCTTTCACCAGAGATCCAGGACCAGTAGCCTTCCTGCTGGGCATTCTAGCAGAGCCCTTAAGACTGGCCTGGCCTAGGTGTGGAAGTGGGATGTGCACCAGGCCCTGCCTTACCTCCCAGGAAAGACTTGGGTTGAAGCCCTGGGTCCTGGGAGTGAGGGTGCTTCCTGAAGACCCAGAGCAAAGCAGCGGTTCCCCCTCTGATCCCACTTCTGCCATGGCCCCAGTTTGGCTAGAGGCTCCAGGAGCAGTTTCCCTGCCTGTGCTGCCTGGAACAGGAGCCGGGAGCCTCCTAGCTCAGGGTCTGCGTCTCAGCTGCTTCTCCCACAGTGGCTACCTGCACCCGTTTTCCACTGTTGAGCATTGAGTCCCAGCCAGGAGTCCCAGTGTCGGCAGGCAGCGGCCTGTGCCTCCTGCCTCCTCTCTCTAAGGACAAGCGGGCTAGCAAGGGCTTCCCAGAGGGGTTTGGAAACCTGGCCTGGCCGCATGACCAGGGTCTCAGATCTGGGGAACGGAAAGGGGAGTAGGAATTGAGGACTGGGCGAAGGGGCCCGCGGGAGAGCGGGAGCCGAGTGCTCTGCTGAGAGCGGAAATGCGAGCAGAGGGAGCCAGGCAAGCGGAGGAAGGCGCCAAGTAGACAGCGGAGAGAGCGGCAGCTGGCCACCACCTAGTGCGTAGTCGTCCCGAAGTAGTCCTCCCGCTACGGCCACTGCCACCGCCACCGATTGATTGCGGGCGGCCGGTGCATTATTCATGCCAGAGATAACAGGGCTGGGCCTGGGGAAGGACGCCGAACCCGGACAGAACAAATACGAAGAGGGAGCTGTCCCGGGCGGCTCTACCCTGCTCTGCCACCGACACCGACGAAGCCTGCAGTCTGAAAACAGGGCCCGCCAGCTCTGTGGCTTTACCCAGGCTCCGGGCCTCCGCCACGCCCGGCAGCACGGTGGGCACTGGAGCTCGGAGCTCGAAGTGCATGTGTGGGTAGGGGACCGCAGGTGGGGGAACCTGTTCTCCTGTTTGATTCTGGGGCTCGCTGCCTCAGTTAGAGAACAGCAAGCCATACGGAAGAAATAGTTTGTTCACATTACACCCCTTTCTCCGATATTTCTGAGCCCCAAACGCGGTTAGAAGGTAGTCCTGAATCTACAGCCCTCTTCCCTCTGCCTGAGGGATGGGGGGTGCCGGGAGACTTTCTCTGAGCAGGGGTTCTGCAGGAGAGACAGAGGGGTCCAGGTTGGGAGAACTCTTCAAGCATGGCGATTTTGCGATCACAGAATTGGCCAGGCAGCTGAACTTGGGGAAAGCACCAAGAGGAGCTGGGCGACCTGGCGCGCAGAAGAGGTTGCAGGGAGCCACCGGGCGGGAGAAGGTAACACAGAGCCCAGGCTGCGGCCAGGCGGGGCGCGCGCAGGCCGGACTCACCTGTGAACCTGTCCTTTGTGTATCTGCGGTTACTCTCCATCCAGGGGAAGGTGAGGCCAGTGAGGTTGTTGACACCCGGCACCCCAGGCACAGAGGGCACGGTGGGCAAGCCAGTGGGCAGGGGCTGCGGGTGGGCCACGGCTCCTGCTAGCGGCCTGTGCGCTGGCACCCGGATCACCCCCGCAGCGCTCAGCGACCCCCCGCCACCGCTGCCGCCGCCACCGCCGCCGCCAGGACCCGGGCCGCCCGCCAAGGCCATGTTCACGTTGTAGGAGCCAGCCAGTGGACCCATGCTGCAGGCGCCGCCGCCGCCAGCTGGGCCGCCCGGGCCGCCAGGGCCGCCTGGACCGCCAGCACCGTAGGCTCCCGCGCCCCCGGCCCCCGCCCCGGCCGCGGAGCTCCCGCCACCGTAAGTATAGGCGCCTCCGACCAAACAGCCAAGGCCGTATTCTCCGTCCTGGAGGCGCGAGGCGGGCCCCATGCAGCCGCCCTGGTCCGGACTGTTGAGGATCTGGTCGATGCCAAAGCTGATGGGCTCCGCGTGGCCCGGGTGGAGGTGGTGCGGACCCAGGTGCTCCATGCTGGCCCCGGCCCCACGGGGGGGCCCGGGCGGCGGCGCTCGCTGTGCTTGGCTCCGAGGGCAGTGAGCTGGGTCGCAGAGGCAACAGCGGCTCCTGGCTGAGCGTAGACTTGGAGGCAAAGTGCGCAGAAGGGCTAAAGTAGGGAGGAGGGGAGGGAGAGAGGGGGCGTCGTTTTCTTCCCCTCTCCGGCTTCTCCTTCCCCTCTTCGGCTGCTCGCTCGCTGTTGACTCTGGGACATCAATCACCGGGCGAAAAAGCCCGGTGCGAGCGAGCTTCGGCGTTTCGGCCCGGTCTCTCCATTGGCTGTGCGCGGAGAGGAGCGGGGTGAATGACAGCGCGGGGGAGGGGAGGGGAGGGAGAGAGGGAGGCCAGAAGCCCAGACAGATGCAGGAGCCAGAGACAGAGGGACGGCGACCAAGGCTTGGAGTAGTTCATGAAGAGAGAGAAGAGGGGAAATAAGAGTCTTAAAAGGAAAAAGAAAAGAAACAGGATCCAGCCATTCCCAGAGATGGACAGACCTTAGGAGTGGGAAGTCAGAGCCCTCTTCCCCACCTGGCAGGAGCCACCCCCTCACTTTGAATTGGACCAAAGGAGTCCAGCCCACCAGGCTTCTGGGGAAGGGGTGTCCCTGCCCAACTGGAGAATCTCCCCAAGGGCTCAGCTGGGAAACACCTGTCACTCAAGCAAGCGATTTACTCCAAACTTCAAGTCCAGCTTGTTAGAAAGTAGAAGACTGTCTGCTCCCCAGGTATGGAGCTCAGGCCCCGAGGCAGGACGGTGAGTTCAGGCTTGTCCTTCTTTAAAACACAGGCCTATGAACAACTAGCTATGTGTTATTTTTATAAAAATCAACAAGCGCCCCAACTCAGCCTCTTTAGAGAAATTCATGAAGGGAAGGCTTCCTGAAAGACAGGCGCATATCAGGGGAGTTGGTTTGGGGCCTGCTGCCAGAGTGCCCGTACCTCAAGATACCCTTTTCCTTTTATATAAACAGATACCTCAAGAAACAATCCCTACAGTGTTTGAATGAATTCAGCTAGATTGCTTTCTACCTTGCTACTAGCTGGCTCTTCCAGGCAAGAAGCCTCTGGACTGTAGTGAGGGGAAGGAGTTATTTTCTTACTTTTGGAATCTTGGGAGGGAGGCCTAAGGGCTTAAGGCAGTGGGGGCTGGGGCTGGTGGGGCTAGGATCAGGGAAGTGTATCCAGGACAAATTTAGGCTTTTTCAAAGTTTTGCCTGTGGCTGCCTGGCTGAGAGCCCAAAAGAGCTCCAGTTTTCTGCTTCCTCTCTTTTCCCTCTCCAGTAGGGAAATGTCTACTCCCTTCTAGGAGCCAAGCTCTGGGAAAGGCACAGGTTCCATCACTTGGGATCTATAGAAATACAGGTCTGTTTCAGGTCACTTTCAGATTTGACCTTCAGGGAAGGCCTATTACTATCAGGCAAGATGCTAGAATGTGAAGGTTCACACTCTATTTATCAAGTCTTGTTGTAATCTATTTGCTTTGGCCAACACCAACACTTTCAGATGAGCATTATCCCTATTTTACAGATGTGAAGAAACCAAATTCCAGAGAGGTTTTGGTTGGTATAGGTCAAGAGGAGGAACTAGATTTGACTTGTTTTTGTGGGTTAGCCTGAAAACCCAGCTGCTGGTTAGAAGCTCATCTGTATGGGGGAAACTTTGTCTGAGCTCCAGCCAAGGAGACAAAGCCAGATGTGAAGTTGGTATTTGTTTGCAAACACCAAGCAGAAACATCAGGAGGGAGCCCCTGAGAGCCATAGCAACCCTGAGAAACTAATAGAAATGTCCCAATTTTTTTATAACTAAGAAAATTGAATGAATATTCACAGCAGTTTTATTTATAATAACCCCAAGGGGGAAACAACTCAAATGTCCATCAACTGATGAATACACAAACCAAATGTAGTCTATCTATACAATGAAATATTATTCAGCCATAAAAAGGGATTAAGGAAGTGCTGGTTCATGCTACAACATGGATGGGCCTAGGAAACTATTATGCTATGTGAAAGAAGCCAGGCACAGAGGCCACATATTGTATGATTCCACTTGTATGAAATGTCCCAAATAGGCAAATCTACAGGGGCAGAGAGCAGATTAGTGGTCACCACGGGCTAGGGATAGGGGGAATGGGAATTGACTGACAAGAGATATAAAACTTCTTTTAGAGTGATGAAAATATTCTGGAATTAGACAGTAGTAATAGTTGCACAGCTTTGTGAAAATACTAAAAACCATGGACTTGTACATTTTAAAGGGGCAAATATTATGGTATGTGAATTATATCTCACTTGTAAAAAGAAAAAATCAGAACTGAGACTTATTGAAAGAACAAACTTGCCCAAAGTCCTGTAGACAGAGAAGACTGATCTGGGATCCCAAAACCTCAACTGTTTTCCCTGTATGAGGCTGAAAACTACAGGGAGGGCCTCTGCAGCTTCCTGGGAGGCTGGGTCCCAGTGGCCTTGCTCCTTGTAGTCTCATGGCAGTTCTGCCTTCGTGCTACAGTTAAAATCCTATCTTTCTAGGTAATCATCAGAACAGCTTCTCTTTGCCACTTTCTGGCCCATACAGAAAACCACTTGAGTATTCCTAACGCTGTCCCCCTTCCTCCTCCAGGTGCACATTTCCAGCTCCTATGGCTCCCAACCCTACCTGTTCCAACTCTTTTGTCATCTTCTCGACCCACATCTTGAACTCCTCGGATACAGCACCCATTGTCCAGGGTACCTGAGCAGAGTACCATTTGCTGTCCCCTTGCTGTCCTGGCCTAAGTTTGGCAGAAGTCACAACTGACTAGTGGCCCACTAAGACTATCAAGATCTTCTTGTTAAATTTTAGCCAGCCAGGAATATACTGACTTTCCCTTACCCTCACCACTGCTTGCCTGACTGATTTCTTTGTTACTTTTCTGCCACCTTTCCTGTTTATCAGAGTCAACTTTGATCCCAGTTCAATTCTGAGGTGCTGGGGTTCTGTGAGTCTGCTTGACCTCAGCCTTTGTCTTCTAATAGGTTAGTGGCTGAGTGCCAGGGCTACCCTCTAAGTCCCTTCCTTTCCTGGAAAGATGAGACCAGAGGGGCAGGATTTGTTGGGCTCTGGCCCCGCACCCCTTCTCCTGGAAGCAGTGTTACCTGAGCACAGTGCTGCAGGTAGGAAAGTTTTCAGAAACAGGGAGAAGACTCACACAGAGCTTACATTTGGTTTCCACAGTGCTTTTGCATTGCAGAGCAGCCGTGTTAGGAGAGAGGAGGCAGGGAAAGAAAGCAGGACTCGCAAAGCACCTGCCATGTCCTAGGCACCTTTACTCACAGCAATTATCTCTCCTCGTATCCTCCAATAATCCTGGGATGTGGATTTTGTTATCTCCATTTTACAGGTGAGAAAACTGAGGCATTGAAAGCTGGAAAGGGGCAGAGACTGGATTTAAATGCTGCTTTTCTGACTCTATTCATCACAAGCTAATTCCTCAACCCTAAATTTAGCTCTTGCCTTGCAGCAGTATCTTGCATGAGCCTAGGTGAGTTGCAGACCCTTCTGCCCAGTCCTGAGGCCACCTGGTAATGCCCCTCCCCCAAGCACCATCTCCCCCTCACCCGCAGAATAAAGAAGAGCCTCCAATTAAAAGAAGAGCAGCTGGGGCTGGGGCTGGGGGAGGAGGAAAGGAAGGGCTGGGCCCAGAGGGAGGCCCCTTTGGATCCCACATGGTCCCCTTCCCCCTCTGGGAGAGACCCCCGGGCCAGGGGTTGTCCTTTAGCTTAGGGGTGTGTGTGGAAACTTAATTACTTTGTGTTTGTGGGACTGTGTGTGCACTAGGGGAGAGCCAGATGTGAACGCCTGCATGACAGTGAGGGCTGAGAGGGTTGTGCAGATGTCCTGGGCATGTCTTTAAGAAATAATTTTAAAAATTTATTCAATGAATATTGAGTGTCTAGTGCTTATCAGGCACTGTGTTAGGCTGTTAGGATACGACTGCAAGCAAAACACGGGTCAGAAAGAGTGTTGGCAGAGAAGAAGGGAGTCTGGGTATTTTTTGCAACTGGATTTGTCATGGGAGAATATGTGTTAGTGAGAATGAAAATGTATGTGTGTTTTTGTAACAGGATGAGTGTGTGTTTACAACTATTCCTCTGTAATAAGCACATGTGATGGGCTGAGGGTATCCCTTGCTACCGTGTGCAAGTGTGAGTGCAGTAATGTGTGCTGCCGATGGTGCATGTATACCTGTGGGAGTTGCGTCTTGTATTCTAATGCGGTTGTCAGGGAAATGGCCATATGTGGGCCTGTGGGTGTGGGGAGGAGGAGACAGGGCATGCCCAATGGGTACGTAGCAGGGAAAGGTGGAAAGGCTGAGACATATGGAGGAGGATGTGTAACATAAGATGGTCCACGGTGGGGCCAACGTGGTCTGCAGTCCCAATACCAAAGGTGTCTGCCCTGCCTTGCCCACCTGTCTCAGTAAAGGGGCAGAAAACTTTCCCTGCCCAGTGGTAGGCAGGAGCAGCTGGTGACTTAGGGACATAAAGACCTAGTAAAGGGCACTCTAACCCTAGGGAGCCCTGGGTGTGGGAGAGACTCTGGGAGTCTAGACTGGGGAAGGAGGGAGGGAGCAGGTCAGGCTGTTCTAGCAGCACAACTCAGTGACTCCTCAAGGCTGGGGGTGGGGGCTGTTCCAGGGCCAGCCCCATGTGTCCTCACCCAATCCTCCAGTAAGACACTGAGGACCTCTCCAACACAGAAATACAGGTACACATTTTCCCATCCGTGGAAGTATACTGAATGGGTAGAGGACAGAGGAATAGACACTTCCCTACTGTCGGGACTCAGTTGTCATCTGGTGTAAGGGCTAGGCAACTTTCTCCTCCTCCCACCCCCACAACCCCCCATCAGAGCCCAGCAGGTGGATGCTTTGGAAATGGGGTCCTTCTGTGTGTGTGGTGGAGCATAGAACGTCTCTTCTCCTTCCTCAGCTTCTGATCCTAAAGGAAGCAGTTGGCCCCATCACCCCTGGGCATTGAACTAGGGCCTCAGGCTTCTCTCTGACTAACTCCCTCCCAAGGGAGGCCTAGAGACCCTCAGGTTCCACCATCCAGCACTTGGTCTTGGCCATGTTGCCCTTGACTAGGGCATCTTCCACCCTAAATCTCCTCCCAGGATGCCAGAACCCAGGAAAAAGTTGGGCAGGGGGTGGGCTGAGAGAAGGCTGGGGCAGGACAGATGCCCTGGCTCTGTCCTCCCTAAATAGCTCCCAAATGG